CCCCAAAACCCCAAAACCCCAAAACCCCAAAACCCCTTTTTAGTAAACAAAGTTTGACAAGAGTTTTTACAACTTTTAGTTCATGACTGGATAGAAAGAATATCTGTTAATGCCGCAGACCTGGTTTCCATAATGAATCCTTACCATTCCTTTCTCTCCCCATGTCTCACTCCAAGAGTTTCTGATAATATAGTGTGGGTAGGAATGATGGCTCTGGAACCCAGTTACAACCACTTCATGGTTAATTCCACTCCTGTAACAGCCACCTGTTATAATTCCAGATTGATAGGAACTCCAGAGGGTCGCATCTACAGCAACAGTGACAGGACCGTGATTCTGGATTCTATCAAGGATACCTGGTTCTCCACTCAAAACCCATCCGGCTCCGTGGACTTCGTCGTGTACACCAAGGGGAGAGCATCTATCGCTCTTGCAAGTACTATCTACACCAATGTAATGGTAATCACTAAGTTTGCAAGCGTCATTATCTTTGTACCATCCATAAGCATAAGCTGAGATTCCACCATTGCATCCATGAGTTGCAGGCTCACAGTCAACAAGCTGTTGTTCAGAAAGCTTCTCGTTACCAAAGCCTCTTAATCTTCTGTGAGCTTCCAGCACTGCAGTGGTTGCAAACGCCCAGCAAGATCCACATTGCCTCTGATTCTGTACGGGGTGGAAATTGTCATTCCAGTTCTTGCTCTTGGTCAAGTCGTGAGATTTACGGAACCAACGCTCGACCAACCAATTGCTGTTGGAGGCTTGCTGTTGCTCTTGATCAAGGGCATCCTGAAGTTCCTGGCTGAATCCCATCATCTGTTGCATTTCTTCGGGAGTTCTGTCAGAAAATGGGGTGATTCCGAATTTAGCCATAGGATTGGATTCTTGGAGTTCTTCAGCAATCTTCATGTTCTCGGCAAAGACTCCTAGTCTGTAATCGTACTCAGCATCATTAGTATAGACAGGAGTGTACTCATTGATGAATCCTTCGAACTTAGACTCAAGCTCCAAATTTTTAGATGGACTAAAACCGATCAAATATGAAGCCATAAATAACCCAGCTGTAATAACTATCACAGAAGTTATAACTTTAGTCATTGATTCTTTATTTATTATATCACCGTCAATAAATCACTTTATAAAGGGGTTTTGGGGTTTTGGGGTTTTGGGGTTTTGGGG